GCAAATTAATTATTCTTTTTGTATTCCTTGTTCGTTTATTGCCAAATTATTTTTGATATTTTCGGGTCTTTAGGTGTAGGTCTACCAACTTACACATGGAAATTTGGGAGTATTACATCATGGTTCCCAATCAGAGCTGTGTCATTTGTTACTGAAATCAATGGATCTTTTTGTTCTTCCCACAGACGATGGCAGATGAATATGCAAGAAAAAAATATCTCTATACTAAGAAAGGATTTTCTCACACTCCATACAACCTCCCTCATTCTCTCTTTTAACTTCTATTTATAGAAGTTCACACTTGCCCTAAACTTCTCTCTTGGTCCCCCTGTTTTGGAGCTAGTGGGCTAAATGTTTTCCTTTCGGCTTGTTTAGTTGATGGTGTTGCCAGGCCTTATCCTTAGTTGAATGGGCTGGAATGATTTCGGCCCAATGGGGCCATTGGATCTCCTAACTGGGTTTAAGAAGAAAAGTACGCTGGCTCAGCCCAGGGCGAATTTGCCCCTTCACTTTCATAATTCATACTACTACATAAAATAGATCTTGGGCTTTACTCTAATGTCTTTAAACATTTTTTAAATTTATTTATTGTTTATAAATGAAAATTTTATATTTTTTTTAAATTTAAATTTTAATTTTAAGTTTATTGTTATTATTATTATTATTATTTTTACTGACCATAATGAAAGAACCACAAAGAAAAATCCAAATGAATGGCTTTGATTTATTTTTGGATTTGGGGCAATTAAGTCATATTGCTTTCAAGGTATGGTATATATAACTTTGTCTATTAGTTTTTTATTTTTGTGCTATTTTCTGTCAAATATGTTTTATTGTTGACTAATATTTTTGATTTGTTTTCCATGAAATTTAAAGATGAACCAAATAATTAGGATAAAAAAGTAAGCAGATCTATAGTTTTGTCTATTAATTGTGTGTATATTCTATTGTTCCCATAATTCATACTAATACAAAGAAAAATCCAAATGAATGGTTTTGATTTATTTTTGGATTTTGGATACTGCTTTCAAGACATGAAGATGTTGATCATTTATTAAAAAAATGTATTACATTTAGAGTACTGAAATTACTTTCTTGTCTACTTCATCAAGCATTTTTTTTGGTTCTTTCAGTTAATATGAGATTATTGCACTTTTTCTTTCTTATTATGTTTTTCTATTTCTTTTTAGGGTTTTAAAATCCAAAGAGGATTTTTTGCATTAGGGTATAAGTCTTTTATAATTTATTCATTTTTTTCCCCTTAGATACTACCTTAAATGATAAGGGTACGGGTAATTATTAGGGTCTCGAAGAATTGTCTCTTAAAGTGGTTAATTAACTACCCTAAAGAATAATTTTAATAATAGTAAAAATACTTATTGTAAGCTATAAGGCAACCATCACATGGCTGATGGCAATGATAAGGAAAAGTGTCCTGAGACTAATTATTTAGTCATATTTCTTTCTTTTCTTTTCTTTTTTCTTCTTCTTAATCATATTACAATATGTTGCAATGGGGTGCCCTTTTTTTTTTTTTCCATTATGAATTTTCTTTTTAAATTTTTTAATTAAAATATTATCAATTTAATCTAAAAATATATATTTATTTGCATATAAGTGACAAAAAGTTGTTGGGAGGTTTGGCCAAATATCACCCTCAAACATCTTTCGAAATAATTATCACTCACATTACAAATGTTTACTCCGTTTTTTACTTACACCCCAAAAGTAAGTTAGTTTACAGTTATGTCAGACAACTTTTTACATGTAAAAAGACATTCTTACCCTTCGACTTTGGTATGACCCACTAAACTATTTCTTTAATGATTCAAATTACATATTTACCCTCATTTGACTAACTAAATTATTTCATTGCAGTATAAATACACTTTCATACATGCTTGAAGGCTCCACCCGCCACACTTCTCTTATCTTAAGGAATACAAATTTGGTGGCTAAGCTTTAGTCTCCCCAGTGGCTATGAGTCATATATATATATAGCCTTAATCAGTGAAAGTAAATGGTTGCTAAGGAAACTCAAGTGAATAGAGAAAATATGTCCAGGCCAAAATCAAGTGAAAAGATAGAAGAAGACCCAGCCAAAAGCTTCGTTGTGATTCATCTCTGTTTTTTGTTCATCATGGTGTAAAATATGTGACCCAACCAAAGAGTTAAACACAAAAGATATACAAGTTTGAGGGATGTAGCAAAAAACATCTATGACCAAACTAACCGGAGTGCATCAACAATCCAATGGAAACCCAACCGAAAATTGAAGACCAAACAGCTCTGGCGAGTACAGTTGCAGCAAGTCCCATAAGATTAACCAACAACTCCTACAAGAATAGTTCCGGCGAGCTACATGATCGATTCTGGCAAACTTCATTCAAATGAATCAAACCCAGTAGTTCCGGTGTCCTTTCAGTCCGGTGTTCTTCGGTTCAGATCAATGAGCTTCAATTAAGTTTGGTATATTTCAGTTTAATTAGTCCGGCAAGCTTCAAATCAAATAATAATAATAAAAAAGATGCGATCAACAAGTTTGGACCGGACGGCAATTTTGGAATTTCCGTCCATGGGTGAAATAATCAATATACTGTATATAAAAGCCAAAAAGTTGTAAATTAAAATTTCATCTACTTCAATGGAGCTCTGGAAAAGCTTCACAATCATCAAAACACCTCCAAATCACCACCTTATACTCAATCACCGATCCATCAAAACACCTATTTCTCTGTCCGCCACTCCCGAGTCAACCCACCGAGTCAGTCTCTTAGAGACTCTCCCCAACGAGACCTTGAAAACCCTGGAATGGCCCTTCGTTTGCAAACAAGTCTCTGCCTTCACTTCCACCACCATGGGCTTCGCAGTAGCTCAAGGTGGTTAGCCGAAGCCTGGAGGAGAGTCGGAAGTTTCTGGACCAAACCACCGCCACGATGCACCTTCCTTAGTAATTGGATTTTACAGGACTTGAGGACGTGCCGGAGATCGTGAATTTTTCCGTCTTTGGTGAATTGGTCACCATTGGAGAGCTCCAAATAGAGAGAGAGACACTGAAGCGTCCCTCCAGATAAAGATAAAGGAGAGAGAAATAGTGTGTGTATTAGGGGGAGTGTGGTGGGTAGATAGGTGTTTATTTAGGGGTATAATAGTCATTTAGGTTATCTGATATTTTGAAATAAATGTGATTAAAAAATTAGGGGCAATGTTGTCTTTTCTTATATTTTTAACGGAGATTGTGACGGAAAAGCGAAAATGGACCTAAGTGATAGTTATTTTCGAAAGATATTTGAGACTGATATTTGGCCAAACCTGAAGGGGTGTCAGTGAAATTAACCCAAAGTTGTTTAAAACACTGCTAGGTCAATATCTTAAATATATAAGTGGTTGAATTTATCAAATATTCTTTTTTTCTTTGTTGGGAACAAAGGTAAAAATAATATATACCTACATGTACACATAAATTTGTTTAAAAGATTTTAATTAAGTTATAAGTTCAATAATTTATTTAATAGTATAATAGTAGGAAATACTAATAATAATTCTATAGTTGTATGAAATATTGAAATTCAATAAAAGAAAAATTATATGGTTTACTCTAAATTTCTATAATTTTATTTATTTTATAATGTTATTATTTATATATAATAAATAAAAATACAAAATTATTCTTATATGTTTTTGATGCTTTATAATTTTTTATTTTATTGTTAGCTCAAGTGTGTTTTATTAGTAATAATAAATACCAAATAATATATTTAAGAAACAATCTTAATGAACTTCGTACATAAAATTATGATTTTTAAATAAATACATTTAGGCTATGTTTGGTGTGAGTGAATGGAATCAAATGAAGGTAAAATGGAATGCATTTGTTTCCATTCTCTTGTTTGGTGTGTCACATTAAAAGTGGAATGGCCATTCCTAGGGAATGCCCATTCCATCAAAAAGGTGGAATGTCCATTCCACTTCTTGAGAGGTGGAATGACCATTCCATTCCCACTAAGAATTAATAAAGTAATAAAATAATTTAAAGAGATAATTCACATGTACACACACTATATATATATATACAAACAGCATATAAATACATATTATATATATATATATATATATATATATATATATATATACAAACAGCATATAAATACATATTATATATATATATATATATATATATATATATATATAATATGTATTTATATGCTGTTTGTTCCCCCTCTCTCTATCTCGTTTATTTTTCTCTCTATTATCTCTTTCCCTTTTATTTTTGCAAATTAATTTTTTTAGTTAATTTTTTTTTTTACTAATAATAAAATGTAATTTAAAGAAACAATATAAATTCATTCTATTCCAATTTTCTTACCAAACATAGGAATGAGAATGAGATTCTATTTTTACACATTTCATGTTTACAACCAAACGGTGGAATGAGAATCATTTTTCTTATTCCATTCCATTCTAATTCCATTCCCACCTCCATTCTCATTCCATTACAATTCATTTTACCACACCAAACATGCCTTAAGGGCTTAAAATTTTCATTGCTTAATTTACAATTTTATTTAGCACGATAAAGGGCGAGTTAAGTCGATTTGGACAGGATCAAATATAGGTTGGTCACATATAAGTTGTGACTTACATTTAAACTGTTTGTGGTGGTGGGTAAAAAATGAGCTGGATTAACTCAAATGGCCCAATAAATTATTTTTTGATTTTTCATTATAAATAATTAAGCACCCATATTCAACTCATTTAATTAGTAAATTAAGTGATTTATTTTTATACAAATTTTACCAGCAAAGAAAATAACCGTTTCGAATTCAATTATCACCCAACGAATATGGGCGGGTTTACGGATCAACCGTTCAACTTTTATCATATTCAATTATCACCCAACAAATATGGGCAGGTTTACGGATCAACCCCTCAACTTTTATCAAAACAGCAGCTGGTACACTCAAACCCTAACCCTAATCTGCTATAAAAACTGCGTTTTTGCCTTGACCTATTAATTTCTTTGGCTGCCGCAGAGACGGGGGAGAGAGACAACGATGGTTTCGTTAAAGTTGCAGAAGCGTCTAGCCGCGAGCGTTCTCAAGTGCGGGAGAGGTAAGGTCTGGCTCGACCCCAATGAAGTCAACGAAATCTCCATGGCCAACTCCAGTAAGCTCTTCTCTCTCTCTCTATATATATATATGTAGATTCGAATTTATTTTACATTTCGAAGCTATAAGATCTGGTTCTAGGAGTCTATGATGTTGTTGTTTTGAACGTCTGGATTCATTCGATAACTTATAATACATACCTGTATATATTTATATATGTACAAATCAGTTGCGATTGTGTGAAAATTTTAGATTCTTCGCGAGTATTGTTGGAAATGTATTCCCTTCTCCTTTATGCTGAGTTTGATGAGTTTGATTGCTGGGAAAACGTAGAATATAATTAATATCTTTATATGGGGATTTGGTTTGAGTTATGGTTATATTATTCAACTTTTTCTTGCTTTTCCTACCCTTTCCCGGCAACCAAACAGAGCATTATTTCAATTGTTGACGAAATTTCATCCAACAGCTTACTTTGGTGGGAACAATTCAGTGAGCTATATCTGTGTGATATAATAAGATGAACTCTTGAGATTTCAGACTAGAAAAGTAATACTCTTTTGTGATATTTGGAAAATGCACTTTAAGTTATAAAGATGAATTTGGCTCTTGTATTGTAGTATCCTTTTTTTTACCCCTCTTTTTATATTTACTACTTATTCTCCAATTGGGATGTACGTGTTCTCAAAGTTAATATTTTGATTTCAATGCATTTTATTATGTTTCAGTTTGAATTGTTATACGGACTGTTTACTTCATTTTCTTCTTTAAACAAAAAGAAACCTATTGTGTCTCATTTATTTCCTGCTGGTGGTACTGCTCTGCTAGTGATTTCACTTTTGCCAGGTTTTCTGATGTCACTAGCAAGTGAGTTTTTCTAACTTGGGTGGTTTTCATGACTTGTATTTAATGCTCTTCTTTACAACTGCCTGTGTACAGGGCAAAACGTAAGAAAGCTGGTGAAGGATGGTTTCATCATCAGGAAACCAACAAAGATTCACTCACGCTCTCGCGCACGCAGAATGAAGGAGGCCAAGAGAAAGGGACGCCATTCTGGATATGGTATGTTCCATTAGAACCTAGGTTCAACTGATGCACATATGACCAGCATCAGATTAATATGGGTCAGTTCAAAATATATATATATATATATATATCATTATTTGATTATGAATCTATTGAGGGAGTGATGGCTTAGAAGTATTTGTGGATGAAAATGTCATCTGAATTTGCCTTTCACCATGCAAAACATTAGTGATTGTCTAAGTTGTTATTGGCTTCACGAAGCATGACAAAGTGCCAAAATTTAAGGAGAAATTTCCTTGTTTCTGAATTAGTTTTGTATCCTGAATAATGAGAAGACTAGGACACCTACACAGTAAAATCTGTCTCTAGAGAAAATACCTTTATCTTGTGATAAAACCTGACCAGCTCCATGCCTCAAGCAAGAATTTTGTCTTTCACAAACCACTTCCTTCACATCGAGTCCATTTATATGCCTTTGTCTTCTTGCAATAGGAAAGGTACAAATTTGGAACTTAACATTGCCATTTCATTTGATTTTATTTAAATTTTTTCTAGCTTGATTGATTTTAACTATTTTAAAGTCCCATGAAGGTCTTATTTACTTCAATATTTCTCTGATTGGTCTGCTAAGAGATTAATAGATTCAAGGTTGAAATGTAATTTATCTTAATTTTAACAATGTAAACTGAGTTGAGTTTTCCTTTTCATGATGCCAATTTTGAGTTTTTTTTTTAAGTTAATTATATCGTTGAAAGAAATTTTGATTAATCATGTGCATTTGAAACCAATTGTAACATTCTAACTACAAGTTCTCTTGTTTTAGAATTTCTTTACCTTTGCACAAAGTTTTGTGTTTATGTATTTTCTAATTTTGTTTCCTTTGGTTATAATTTTATGTCAGATAATGATTTTGTATTGTGCATTCTACAAGTTGCAGTGCTAACCCTTTATGCTGTAAGGGTTTTGCCGCCTCCATGTGGAAGGCAAAGAAAAATTTCCACCCTCTATCTCCTCTTATACAATCACAAATAGATATAAGCTTCTCTCTTTCCCTTGAAAATGATCTCAGCTAGACATTCCATGTGTATATTTGGTTTCTTAGATTGGTCATTGATTGAAATTGTTTCCTTTCAGTCTTTCACTTTAAGGGGCTTAAGGCCTCTACTACAATCATGATAATATGTGTTACGTTCTTTTTTCAAATCATTTTCAGGTAAACGCAAGGGTACTAGGGAGGCAAGATTGCCCACCAAGATTCTTTGGATGAGGAGAATGCGTGTTCTGAGGCGCTTGCTCCGCAAATATAGGGAATCAAAGAAGATTGATAAGCACATGTACCATGATATGTACATGAAAGTGAAAGGTAATGTCTTTAAGAACAAGCGGGTGCTGATGGAGAGTATCCACAAGTCAAAGGCTGAGAAGGCAAGAGAGAAGACATTATCTGACCAGTTTGAGGCAAAGCGTGCTAAGAACAAGGCAAGCAGGGAGAGAAAGTTTGCCCGGAGGGAGGAACGGTTGGCTCAGGTAAGAATGGAAGAAGACCATTATTTTGGGACTTTTATCTTTTTGGGATTTTTCATTTTCTACTTTGTTACTGAATTATAAAACTGTGTGCAAGAAAATTTGATGCCGATTTTAAAAAACCCAATATAATATTGATTGAAACATCAATATAATATATTAATGGTATTACAGCCTTATAGACTGCCATGCTGTTAAAAAGAAGTCAATGTAGTACTTGTATGCACAAATATCTGGTCATGTCTATGGACTTTGCTTTAAGTTCATGCATATGTGAATGTGAGCGCATGCATTTACATGTCCTTATAAATTGTGTGTTTTTGATATACGCAGGGACCTGGAGAGAGAGCACCTGCATCCGCACCAACACCTGCACCAGTTCCTGCAGAGTAAGACACGTGAGCTTTTGTATTATCCTTCTATTTGTAACAGGTGGCCCTAATTATGATTATTGTTTATTTTTGTAGGAAAGCTAAGAAATCCAAGAAGTGATCATTGAGATACCTCCAGAACTAAGGCTGAAGGCTTCATTGTGATACCTGTCAATGATCTTAGTTTTCTGCAGGAGTTTGTTCTTACAACTATCATGTTTATGTTTTTTTGGTCAATTTTACTATTCACAAATACTGAGATCTCTGCAAGCTGTAGTTTCCTTCTCTATTAGTTGAGTAACAGTATTGTTTTTGGTTGTGGTGAATGGTTGAGTCGTCCTCGTGCTGGTTTAAATACTAGTATGAGCTAACTCTATGATGATAAATGGATGATAATACAATCTATCTAATCCTTTGAAATACCTCTGTATACCTGAGGATATTGATGTGACATACCATGTCAAAAGACCTGTTAGATCATGTATTTGTTTTTGGAGTTATTTTAATTGTGATGTTGCTTGTTTTGAGTGTGCTTGAGGTTGAATTAAGGTTAGTATTTTTGAATTCTGTCTCTGTACTCTACATTTTGAGGGCTGGGAAATAGAAACAAAGCCATAAAATTTACCAAGTAGGTGTTGTATTTGACACGACGGTCAGATAAGGCATATTATGGATTTGATCTCTGACAGTGTTCTGAAATGCAAATTTTTTATAAGATTGAACTCCGTTAGGATTTGAATTTCAAAGCTTCTGCTCGGACGGCAAATTAAGTTTTATGTCATAAGTTTCATGAAATTGTCTCTATTGCATTTCATGAACTATTCCTCCATGCAGGCTAATACCTGAGATTCCTTTAGTCCTATTATGCTTGTTAGGTGCGTGAATAATTTGTATTGAGTAAGGATTTTTTAAATAGGAGGAAGTGTTCTGTATTTTGTAATTTGTTTTTTTCTTTTATTTGTTATTAGCATGATTGCCATTGGATTTTAATTTTAAAATTTAGTCTCGGGTAGTTGTATTTATATATTTATTTGGGGGATATTTTATTTTTTAGCATTTTTTGTTATCACGGAAGAAAGAATGGACATATGGAGAGATGTGTGCACAAAAACTTTTGTTACTCTCGCTCTTTGCCCAACTTGTGCCTTTAGCTTTGTTATGGTTTGAGAATGAGAATTAAGAAGTTGGGGGCCTTCAATGTACGGGGGAGAATTGATTCCCTTAATTATTGTCATTTAAACTGCAAATGGTCGGTGGGATTGAAACAAAGGGATGGTAGAAAGGATGAAAGGGTTAAAATTGGTTTCTTTCTTTTCCTCCTCTTTCATTCAAATTTGAAATAATCCCTCCACAATCTTTCCTTCCACCCAAACATCAAACATTCTGAAATTGATAAATCTAAAACAAAATAAATTGTGACCAAGTATATGGGGGTGCAACTTGGGTTGGGCTCGTGGGCTTGGGCAATTAATTTTATAATGTTGCACATGGGTTAAAAATTTTTAAGTCAAATTTAATTAGGATTGGGTTTTGATTGAGGTGCGACTCATGCTAGTAACCAAGTCAACCTAAATTCAACTTTTAATATTATTTTCATATATATTTTTAATTTTAAATACATTATATTATATATAATATTTAAACTATAATTACATTTTTTATTTTCAACTAACTTTGTTAAATCTTAACTTATTGTATGTTAATATTACCACTTGTGACATTCCGAATTTTCACAAACTTGGATATGTCAATATGGCTTGAAAGTTGACCCGATAACGAATCCGGAATGCGAAAGCAAAAATAAAACACAAAGTCTATGGGGATGTTCAATATCCCTAAGACACAAACATGGTTTCCTAGAAAAACCACGGAATCAAAAGAAAACAAATGTGGCAGTAAAAGGGTGGAAATGGACCAAGTATGCCCCTAAGGGCAAAATGGTCATTTCACATTAAAAAAAAAAACCAAAGTCTCGATAGACGTACATCATCCCTAAGACAGTTTATAAAATGTCTTTAAACTTTTTTTTGTTTTGTGTTTTTTTGTTTAAGAGTAATTAATCTAAAATTAATTCAAGATCATATTAAAGATTAACTATATGAGTAACTCGAATTAATTTGATTTCTTAACCTGAATTTAAAAGTAGAAGAATGGGTTGCGCTCGAATTGAGTAATTAGGGTTGAAGATAGGATTAAGGTTGAGATTGAGTTAACATTTCATATAGTGAGTTTACTAAGTTGAGCTCAACTTATACCTCAAATCCGCTTGGGTTACTGGCCTACTAGTATATATAGGGAAAAATAATAATAATAATAATAATAATAATAATAATAATAATTTTGATGGAATTTTATAATAGTGTTTGTTCAATCAAGTATGTAATTAAGTATCTAATTAAATTATGGATTAAATGTTTTCACACCCACTGAGGTTTCATTTTATTGCTCCTATATTAAATCTCAGCCAAAATTGCTACAACACTCCTACCAGATTTGGTTTAATTTGCTCTGAAACCCCCTCTTTTAAATTGATAAAATAAAATTCCTAAATTACCTTTCATTGGTTCAATTACATTGTTGCCCTTAATTTGTTAGACTTTTATACCCTGTTTCAACTAAAAAAATCGCTGCAGACCAATATCCCGGCGACACCACCACCGATTTCCACCAAAGACAACACAATCGTCACCACTGTCGTAGATGGAGATGGCGATGGAGATGACCAATCACCTACGCCTCATAAAACCATGGTTGTGCTTGAGAAGATTCATCTCCAATTGCATGCCTAAGCATACCAATAGTCACCATCGAAAGCCAAATAAAATAAACTGTTGCTGGATCTCCTGATGAATCATTGTCGTTGGCCGTTAAAACAAAAAAAACTCAACACTTCGAATAATCTTTCTTGCAGTTCACCACCGACACGCACCCCAACGCCAAATGCAAGACGCATTCGCGATTTTCCAACTCCTAATGTCGATGTCGATATCAAGGTTGGATTCGGGAATGCTTTGCTGCGACTCTACACTGGTTTATGTAGAAAGCCAAAAATACCTATCGTTTTCGTGAAGGAATCATAGTCGGTTCAGAAGATTCTTCCTATGGACGTGGCTAAGTTCCATGAGTTCAATGATATGCAGGAACCTCTTTGTTCTGATGTGCAGCCTGTCGATTTACGTCCATATAAGATTGCTTTGCATAGCTGGGTTAAGCCCTATTACTAGGAACTGTGGTTTTTGTTGGAAAACGTGCAAGTTTTTATAAACTTTTGAGGGATTTGCAATCATGGATCTTGATTCATCACATAGAGATAAGTTTTATACAAAAATAAATAAAAGATGATGTATCATTCAATAAACAGATTGAATACTTATATCAAAGGTCTGAGTAAACCTTTTAATCTTTCCTCTAAAGTGAATGTTCTCACTTATTGTAGATCGCTTTAGTAAGATCCTTTCTCCTTCTTCTTGATTATGATCTTTCCTTTAGGAATCACCAATATGTCTTGATGAATGACCTTGAAATCAAGGCTTGTGGTAGCCTCCTTTAGAAGAGAAACAAACCCTAAAATCTAGAGAGAGAAAGTGTATTCCTTTTTCTTGTTCTCAAAATCACCCTTAAAATATAAATGAACCCATATATATATAGGCAAAATAAAAATAAGAAAATGAAACATTAAATCATTCTCCATCTCTAATTCAACTTTCTCAATTCTAACAGGACTCTAATATCAACTTGGGCTATTGGTGAGAATCCTTTTGGGCTTACTATTTTATTGGCTCCTATAAATCAATAATTGGTCCGGTTCATTAAACCATGGACCCAATTCAATTAATTCATAAATTAATTTCTACTCCACTGAAAGAAATTAATTGCACTCCAATTAAATAGTAAATAACCTCAAAGTCAATGTTGCACTTTGACCCCTCTATGCATAATTATTTATCGGATAATTAAAGCCATCAATCGGACAACATAATTAATATAATTATTTTGTTACCTTTAATTGTTTCTGACTCGATCATAATAAAATATTTATTTGACAAAAATAATAATTTACTAAATAAATATATATAGAAAACATTTGTCTAAAACATACGAAGGCCTTCGAATTTAATTTGTGATCAACCATAATCAAAATAAAATAAATACAAAAAGCACTGATGCCAATATTGAGAATATAGACCTCTAACTATTAATTACATAACTACCCAAAGGGCCGATCTAAGGATCCCGAGGTTTTCGCCGAACAAATCAAAGTAATTATTAATTAATAAAAGAGTCTATACTTCTCTCATGCTTGAGAGTCAAAAGTCATGACTGTGATAGAGAGCAATTGCATACGACAGCTCTCGCAATATATCTTAATCTATCGTGGACTCAGTTCAAGTCTTAACAAATTAAATGTTTATCCATAATTACCGACTTTGAATCATTTATGATTACTAATTTATAATTTAGTATTAATTGTCATTACATACATATATAAATATATCTTGTAATCAAGTGGACACAATCAATTCCATAATGAATCGAAAAATAATACATTTCATTCACCATTTGTATAATGCTTTAATAATAATATTCAGATAATGAACCATGACTTTTACAATCCAAAATAAGAATTTGTTATGGTAGGGCACACATATCCCAACAGTTTTGGTAAGATTGAGTATAGCCAATCAAATCAATTAAGGGTAATGTTGTCCTTTTACGTTTTACCTCACATGTCAGCCTTGAGATTCAAATAAAGTCAAGAGTGAATAGTAAAATCACTTATTATATACTCTCATGAACCTTTAGCCCTTAAATTATTAGTATTATTAATTATTAATATTATGGAAAACTTCATTAAATTTCAATACTTAATTTTTAATTTTAAAAGAGAAATCATTTATTTCTTCGAAATAAAAAATTGAGGTTTGATTGTTTTGTAGAATAATAATATATATATATATATATATATATATATATATATTTTTTTTTTCTTCATGTAGACTAATAATTGGGTGAATGTAAATTGTGATGGCTCCTGAAAAGCGTTGGAATTTGCTTGGGACTTTTGGAAGCTCTTCTAACCTCTTCTTCCATTTTATCTTTCACGCTCACGCCGCCAAGTGAAGCCATAGACGCGTTCGTGATATCGGTATGTATTCAAAACTTTCTGTTACCAAACACCGTATATACACACACCAGATACATATGACGTTTGTATATAAACACATAAATCTTTTCAATCCAAGGAAAAGAGCTAATTCTGATTTCTCTCAAGATTATGCTTATGAATGAGATTGAAATTTCTGTCTATTTGTTTGTAGTACTCATTTGTATTTTATTTTATGTTTAGACTGATATTTAGGATTAGTTCAACAGATGTTTGACGAAATGCTTGAACGAACATGACCGAGAACCAATTTGGTTGCCATTAGGATAAGCTATATGTCTTGGTCAATGGGTCAAGTCTCAGTTTGAGAAGAGAGCAGGTGGGAGAACAAACATTTAAATGATTGAATAGTTATATGACAAATTAATAAGGATAGAACACTAGTCTAATAAGAAGATATTGTATGAGATGAATGGGCATTCTGCCTTGCGTGCCAGCCGATGGCTCTGACCCACTGGGCGTGCCAGAAATTTGTACACACAAATTTTGTGTCTGAAATTCTAGGAACGAAAATGTGAACAAATAACAGATTTATTAAATATCAGGAAAAAAAAAGGTACAATCCTCTACGCGATTCTATTACAATCAGAATCTCCCTCGGGAATTATAGACTTGGTAAAACCGATATTTCATGGGGTAAGAGATTCAGCAAATGTTTATGCAGTGACAAAACAATAATTTATAAGACAAATGTAAACAATAGCTTCTCTTCTTCTACTATCTAAAAGCAAAAGCAAAAGTTATGCCAAAAGAAAGAAGGGGGAAGGAAAAGGAAGGAAAGGAAAGAAAAGGCAAAAGGTAAAAGAACTCCCATTTAGAAGAATTTCTAGTCATTTATAAATGCACTATTATGCTTGCGTGGATATACCAGACTATGTACCTGCCTCTCTGAAACTCACCATGCAGCAAAGTTCACTGTTGGTGCAAGTATTTGCAATTTTCAGTTTGTTTCTTAAATTTTGCTTCTGCTTAAAGTCATGTGCTTCACTAAGATCTATAGTACCTTTATAGTAATTTATACAACTTGAAATCCTTTTGCATATGTTTATATATTTCTATAGGAGTTTATGCAAAGTATTGTGGGTGCCCCCTGAATCCTTTTTGGTGGCTTATATTATGTGTGTATACTTATGCTTTTGTATGGATATATTGGATTTTATGCAAGTGTTAGTTTAATTGTCAAAAGGGAACTAAAATTGATAATTTTGGGTTTAGGATGATGCAAATGATTGCATTATACATAATGTTAAAGAATTGTTTGAATTTGAACTTGCTTATTGAAATATAGACAGGATGGGTTGATTAAAAATAGAAAGCTTACGAACTTTTATGCAATTTTTTTCATGTTGATTATATGTAGTCTTATTAGTAGTTTTATTCAATAATGTTATGCAATTATTTTAAAATTTTCCCACAAAGGTTATTTATTATTTTCTCATGTATCATTGTATATTTCTTGCAACAAGCTACTTAACAAAAAGAAAAATTCTTCTAACAAGCTGGGCTCACACTGGGCCCTGTTTGAAAGAACCAACACCTGAGGAATAGAAAGAGAAAATCTTATTGAATTGGGTTTAAGGAAATGATGCATGTTTAATTTTTGGGGCTTTCTTAGGCGTGAGCTTCTATGCTTGGTCTGAGGTACAATATTGGATGTTGCAACTTAAACATCTCATTATGCGATACCTGTTAAATACTCTTAGTATTCAGAGTCACATGTACATATTAGCCAGCCTTTTCAATTTGTAAGATCTGTTAGATTCTTTCTCCATACGGTTTTTTCTAAGTGGGCCTGGGAAACTGTGATTAATATGCTGATCCAAAAGCATAATTTGAAAACTCCTTTTTTTCATTCAAATACTAAAGCATTGCATCCTTATCACAAATATAACGAGTTTTCTGTCGTCAAGTTGTGTATGAAGTTAAAACTTAAAAGCAGTAGTAATATGGCATATTTGGTTGACATTAATGAATTTGGGAAACTTTTTAACGTCGACGCTTGTCTGTTTATGGTGGTGGTTGTTTTCTGGGAATGTTTGGCGATGAGATACTACTTGTGTATTATATATTTAAACAGTACGACTTCCTAACCGAGATGGTACGCAAATCTTTTCTTCTAAGATCTTCAATTATTTCTTTGATTTCTTCAATGGAGTTCTCAATTTGCAGGACAATTGTCATTGCTAGCTCCTAGTGTTTCAATGGCATCATCTACAATAAAATCTGGTGCTTTGGTTACTTTACAAGAATTGAACTCCTCTTCTCCACATTTTAAGCAAGGGGCCTCACTTCGAGTTACTGGCAAGTGGGTAATCTCTATTGATATATGGTTTTTTAACTCTATTAATATAAGCTATTTTCAGGGGTCGTTTGATTGTGTAATGGTAAAAGTTCAAGCTACCAAGTGTGAGTATGTGGTGGAAAAAAAAAAAGTTTGAGTATGTGACTCAAATATGAGGCAATCACATCGCACAAATAATGTATAATGTGTCTACATTAGTCTTTATTGAGCCCACCTCTCCCAATACTCTTGTTAATGGAATCAATATTACCTTTGACTTATTGGGGGTTATTGCTTGGTAATGGTAACAGTTTAGTCTGTCAAACATGAAAATCTGGTTTTGAACTTAAGAGTAGCAACTTTGTGCATAATATCACCAAAAACTAGGCTTTTCTCCAGTCCATCCTCATACTGGGTTGCTTAGGTGGGAGTACAACCGCAAAGTGATCTTTTTATACATGTTTCTTTTTCTTGTAGTTGAATGTTTTGCCAAACATTCTTTAGCGACAAGTAAAAATTGGTAACTGAGCCATAATGCAAATTCCTTTGTCATGGGCTGCATTTCTTTCAATGAAAATATTTCCCTAAAACTTGTGTTTCAGTTTGGTTCAAAGAAACGTTTCTCTAAGCAGTAAACTATTGGCATAACTATTCTATCACTTCTGACTCGGTTCTATTAGAGAGGAAAAATCTAAAAAGAAAAAAAAATACAAGCTCCTAAAAACAGGTCTACAATTAGGTGTGAATTAATTGCTAAGAACAGTTCCACATTGATATGCTGATAATAAACATAAATATGACTAAAAGTCATTGCGTTGCTTCTGCACACCAAAATAGTTCTACATTTACTTTCATGCAAGTACTTGCATTTTTATTTGTATTATGCATAATAGAGTAACCAATTGAAGTGAAGGCAACAAAGGCACAAGGTTTTGTCAGATAGAACAATTTAATTGAAAATGCAGGAAAGTCTGCGACAGGGGAATGAAAGCATAGGTGAGGAATAATTTTATTTGCATAATTGAAGATGGTTTCTAAAACTACTCTAAAAAATCTATTAATCATTCTTAATAATTCTTGAATAATGTATATCATATGCCTCTCCTTTTATTTTTTCCTAGTTGATACTCACACACATCCCCTCAAGGAATTGTTTGCACCCAAGAGGATTCGAACCTTAGACCTGATCTTACCACTTGAGCCAACCCCTTGAGATTATATGCCTCTTTTCTCTGCACTTTCTCTATCAAATTGATCTTAACTTTTTTACAACTTACAACATTCCAGATTTCTGGATTTATAATCTCATAAAGTTGAATTAAGTCTAGGCATTCGTCACTAAATGTTAGCACCAATCTTGGCAAGAAACTCACACACCCACTTTGCCTCTACGAGGACTTAAACCCTTGTCCCTCCACTTTGGAAGGCAAGTACCACTAGGCTACAAAAACAAGGGAACACAAATAAGAAGAAAGGCAGCTAACTTCCAACTAATAGATTCTGACCAGTTTTGGAGAGGGAAGCCACCTGAAATGGTTGTGAGCATTTTCTTTTAACAGATTTATTAACAATCCTTGTTCACATAAGAAAATTTCATTATCATTCTGATTTATACGAGAGAATATTCAGTGGGGAAATGTCCTCCATTAATTGTTCTATGCTTATATCCTGAAGAGTAGATTTGATTATTCAATCGGATCTGGTATAAGTACTTTCATTGGGGGATGTGGAGCAAAGTGCTCCATGATCACCTACTCTACTTCGAGTAGAAAAGCCCATATCTCTTAAAGTTTTCTAATTGTTAGAGCTTCAAACTTTTTTACTTTAATCATAACTTATGAATTGCCTGACCATTGGCTTCTTGATCTCTCAATGTTCTTTCCCCGTTGGTGATCTCTGATAAATATTTCTAGAAGTTACGTCTTTTATACATTGTTATAGTGGACTAGTTTGAAATGATATTTGGATTATGGTGAACTGATACAATATTTATGGGACATCAATATCCCCAAAAAGAAAACACATCGAAGTGCATAAAAAAACAAAAGAGGTGTTACCCAGTGCTGGTCCCAGACTACATGGGAGGTTGGAATGGCAACACCGGAGACAGACGTGACCTTTGTAATATTACATAGAAAATGCATGAACAGCCCGTTGAAAACCTTAATTGTTGTTGTCCTCTTTTCAGGCTACAAGACTATTCCATAGAGACTGCAATTGCCGTAATTGTTGATGAAAGTGCCAATCTAAAAATTGACACCCAGCACTTAAGCCTCAACCTTCGAGTTGGATCTATCTACCAGTTCATCGGAGAACTCCTCATTCAACCTAACAATGAGGTAAGAAATGCAGCTTCCATTAAGGCCTTGCACCTCACATTCGTAAACACACCCTGCACACAAATTCAGCACAGTCGCATTTTGATGGAAAATGTAATGTGTACTGCATGGGCATGCTCATCTTTGTATTATGCCAATAGTGGTCTTCCTGTAAAATTATGGTTGGAACAAAGTTTGTCCTTGTTCATCATCCCTATTGTGACAAACAGCCTGGTCTGTGTATCAAAATGTTGATTGAGCCTCTAGGCATTTTTGTAACTTGTCGTAAAGGTTTCTCAACAAACAGAATACCATTTGCTAGATACTTCAGTGATCCAGGCACAAAATCATTCGGATCAATGGCTAGCTATGGTCCATAGATCTGCCTGAGTCAGGCACGAAGTACAAGTAAAAAGTTTGTCCTTCCTTGGTCATCATCCCTATTGTGACATACATCCTGGTCTGTGCATCAGAATGTTGATTTAGCCTCTAGGCATTTTTGTATCTTGTTGTAAAGGGATCACGGAAAACAAAGCACCATTTACTAGATACTTCAGTGATCCAGGCACAAAAACAGCCAGATCAATGGCTAGCTATGGTCCATAGATTAGCCTGTGTTGGGCACGAAGTACAACCAACATGAGTGCTATCTTTGCTGGAATAGTTAGTTCATAGCTGCTAATACGTGCTGCGTTTCATTGTATCCCTTAACGTCAACATGCATACAAATTTGTTTACTGCTTGTGTTTGTGTTCCATCGCATGGTTGACCATTAGTCTTACTCTTTTTTATTAATGGTGCTGTTTCAGACAATCTTGAAGGCACGGGTGGGAAGGAATGTAGATGGCATGGACCTTAACCTCTACCGCCAGTCCCTACGGCTACTGAGAGAGTTTCAAGCTGATCAAACAAGTAGTCAAGCACCTTAGCGCCATATATCTTATTGTCGAAGATACAACTGAGATTTCAGGAAATACTTTTACTTGAACTACAGGAAATGTGATGAGAAGGTGAACTGGCGTATTTATGAAATTGGAAAGCTGGCACTATAATCTCCTTCAAGATCCTCTTTATCAAAGTTGCTGAAATACTATTTTCTCCTGTTGATCAAGAGATCGAGTAAGGTTTTTTATACTTGCCACAAAAAAAGAAAAAAAAACAAGGAGTATGGTGTTTATTTGGCGGGAATGAATGCATTGGGAATTAAATTACTGAGCATTTTGTAGAATTTCTTTGATCAGTCGGCATTCTGTGTTCTCCTTCTTGTTTATCGTAATGTGGAGTTGGCATGTCTACTATGAGATTCCAGTGACGTTAGGCACCAAGCAAAAGATGCCAAATCAATGGGGAAAAATAATGTTCAGGACCCAAACAAAGAAAAAAATATTAGCGAGCCTTGTGACTTTTAGTTGGGGGATTTTATTTATTTATTTTCATTAACTATGCTTGTAGAGGAGTATGGTTGTTGCTAAAGTATGACTACTAATATCAACAGACCAGACATCTAGCGGTTCGAGTTTAGTGGAGGCATGTGTGTGTGTGTACCAATTAAAAAAAAATAAAAAAAATAAAAAAAATAAAAAAAAAACCCGAGAAAATAATCTATGCAGGACTTGCTTTTTGCATTTGCTTATTGGTAATCTAGAAGTTTAATTTGATCATTATGCTCTGTTTGGTAGGATGGAAGAAATTTGGATAGAAGGAAGAAAAGAGGAGATAAATAAAACATCCAAGGGGAAGAGAGTGTGTATTTTCTTCTTTTTATTGGTTGGATGGAATAAAAAGGAATAAGATAATGCCTTATTTTGTTTGTGACGATAGAAGAAAATAGAAAGTGTTAAATAAAGAAAGTTTTGTAATTTAAAAATATTTATAATAGTCTTCCCTTTCTTCCTACGTGTGTTCTACCCATATTTGTAGGAAAAAAAAATTTGTGAAGGAGGACAGATGACTTATCCATCGTCTTTTCTCTTCTTTCCTTGTTTTATCTCTACCAAACGAAGGAAATTTGTTTCTTCTTTCTTATCTTCCATCCATTCCCCTTTCTTCCTACTAAACGGAGCATAAAAGAATGTAAAATATCAGCCATTTTTTCAAGTTGGTTGAGCTGAAAATCATAGATCAAAATCTTCTCATGTGGAACAGTGGTCTTGTTTCGTCTAGTTATATTGTGGTGTGGGCTGAACATCACAATTTTTTTTATAACATACTTTACTAACTAGACGGAACATGAGCATTGTTTCACAGGAGAAGATTTTTGTCCAAAAATCATAAAGAAAATCTAGTTTTTCCCTGTGAATCTGGTGAAGAAAAAAATGAAATTTTCAGGGGACTTGAAATTTGTGGTATAAAAAATGGTATTCCTCTTAAATCAGTAAAAATTTTGTAAATTTTTCATTGATTTTTGGATGTGTAAGCTATGCTTCCTACTAATATTGGACAGACAGCTGCCCTTTTATGAATAATTTTACTGACATCCCTTTAGATTTGGTTAAATATCACCCCAAACATCTTTCGAAAATAACTATCACTTAGGTCCATTTTATCTTTTCAGTTACAGTTTCCGTTAATAGCATAGGAAAAGACAACTTTGCCCCCTATCATACCCACTTATCACCACTACTCCGCCCATACACACCCTCTCTCTCTCTCCTCTAATACATTATTGACTACATCTCGATTTTCAGATCAACGCCCTCTCTTCTCTACGGATCAACGCCGCCATGTCTCTACATATCAACGCCACCATGAAACCTTAGATCCATAGTTCTAGAGTCCATCCGCATACATCACCGATCAAACCCGTATACTTTCCATCCAACTTCGTATCGATGAAGGCCATTTCAGGCCTTTTTAGAGATGTTTTGTCATCGATCAAGCTTATGTCAGTCTTAATAAGAAAGGTTTGATGTTGTGAACAGAGGCTAGGACGTTGTTTGATGTTATAATTAAATCTTCTTTCTAAATTCTTCGATTCTTGACTAACACTATATTAATATTTTTCTAAGTTTCTGCCAAACCCATTAATGATTTCGCCCTTTTCATAACCATCTTGTCAATTTTTAGTTTCAAAATAAAATTGGGTTTTTTTAGGATTGCTTCCATGAACCCAAAGAGGTGAAGTTATGTGAATTGAGGAACCTAAACTCATTCGCATTCTTGCACTTCTTTAATTGGTTTTCTCTGGCACTATTCTTGCCATGGAAGTTTCTCTCTCAAAGAAGTGGGTGTTCATAAATTTGGATAAAATGGGTTTCCTACTTCTAAATAAGCTCCAATCTGGGTGGTGCTTTACTTGGATTCTTGAATGCCCAATTGGGTTACAAGGTCGTCCGTGTGAAGTCAAATGAGGTTTTGGTTTTAAGGATTACAAAGCAGTATTTTGGGATTGAATGGTTATGGTACACATATATATTATATATGCAAATGGGTATCTTTGGATATTTTTATTCCGTTGCTCACCACTGTAAGACAATATTTGTATTGATAAAAAGAATTATACACAACAACTACGTATAGTTAAGAATGGCAGATGCAAAAGCATAATCTATCAATAATATTACAATATTTTGCATGCAAAAAAACGGAAGGAAAAAAAAAAAAAATTGTCAATTAAGCCATTGGCCTTTTTCGTGAGTTTTTGCTGAATTAGGGTTAATTTTTTTTTTTTCCCCCTAGTTGATTAGGGTTAATCAACCTAATTAGGTTATTTAAAGGGTTAATTGATCCGGATTTTTTTACCCTGGATTAGGGTTGGTTAACCATAATTTTCAATCTGTTTACGGAATTTTTTTTTCCTGGATTGGGATGCTTTCAGATTTATATGTAATGACTTTATTGGGATAATTTTTTTCACATTTATAGGCTTTAGCAATCACAGGTTTAAAAATAAATTTGTAATTACATGTTAAAAATATTATTAAATTCACGCATTTTTACATTTCAAATCAGCAATTACAAAGGAATTACCAATTACACAGCAACATTTTTACTCTTCAATTACGCTAACGAAGTCTACTTTTTTTTTTTTTTTAGAGCTAATGAGGTTACTTTCCTTAATTAATTCTAATGGAACAACAAGGGAAAAAAATGTCAAATTCCAAAAAAAAAATAAAAAATAATAAGGGTAAAAATGTCAGTTTAATAATTAAACTACACTTTATTTAGTCAAATTGAAGTCAAAGGGTAAATATGTCTTTTCATATGAAAAAGTTGTCTGACACCTCTGAAAAGTAACGGTTGGGGTGTGAATGAAAAACAGAATAAAACTTTGTAATGTAAGTAATAGTTATTTTCAAAAGATGTTTAAAGATGATATTTGACCAAATTTAAGGAGGTGTCAGTGAAATTATCCTTAAATTTTAATATATGTGACTCATATAGATTCTCAAATTGTGGTACTTTTTATCATCTAAATAGTATTTCGAGTGTTTGAAACTTTGAGTCATCAACGGGGACAATATCATATGGGTGTGTGGGTTTATAACATTAATATATCATTTGTTTAGTGACGTTCTTTGTTAATGTATTTATTTTCTTTCTTTCTTTTTGTAATTTATTCAAAGGCAACATAAGGTTGTATAATAATAATTATTTTTTGGTAGGTAAGTTACTCGTGCATCCAATTATCACACTTGCAATCGTCTAGAAAGAATTTGAACCTTTGACCTTCCTTTTAAGGAGAGAAAATACTCCTTGAGTTAAATGTTCACTATCACTATTGTTGACGCAAAAATCAGTACGGTTCGGAGCCGGGGGTGTTTCCTGCAAGACAAAAGAGATGTGACAACCGACGTGGTGCCAGCCGGGTACACTCTGACTGTCAAGTTAGTACTTGACGATTGAATATCCAATAAATGATTAAATATAGGATTTATAGCGTACCTTTTTAGGTTAACTAATGACTTCTTTTATAGAAGCATTCACGGTAGTAGTCTTATATCATGAAACAAATTTACTTTCCATATCCATTACGGATTTAAGAGTCACTAGAGAGGGTAATAGTTGTTATTTCTATCTCCTTAAGTTTATCCATACCCTTTGAGTTTCCATATCACTTGGAAGTCTTATCTAGTCGAATATTCCGTAGACTTACCATCTTCTTAATCATTATCGTGATTTGTAAACTTAATCCTTATTGTAATCTGTAGGTTTAATCCTTATCATAATCTGTAGAGCCTATCTCAATCTTATGAGATGGTGTGTTAATTTAGCAATCTTCCCTTATCCGTAGGTATTTAAATTATATATCCATCAGTTGGCCCCCGTTTTGGAGGATTGCTTGTTAAACCACCGGAACGTTAATTCCCAAATATTATATAATAATAGATATTTAGAATTGTAGAGCCGTTCACTCCGTATTTCTATAATAAGTTGGTTTGATTATTAGATAGTAGAGCCTTGTCCGCTTGACTCATATTGCCACTTCGCGAACACAATCGGGGGTCGAGCCTGACTCAAATTTAGCCTACCACAGTCGGGGGTAGATCCTGACTCAAATTTAGCCTACCACAGTCGGGGGTAGAGCCCGACTCAAATTTAGCCTGACACAGTCGGGGGTAGAGCCCGACTCAAATTTAGCCTGACATAATCAGGGGTAGAGCCTGACTCAAATTTAGCCTGACACAGTCGGGGATAGAGCTTGACTCAAATTTAGCCTGACATAATCAGGGGTAGAGTCTGATTCAAATTTAGCCTGACACAGTCGGGGGTAGAGCCTGACTCAAATTTAGCCTGACACAGTCGGGGGTAGAGCCTGACTCAAATTTAGCCTAATACAGTTGGGGGTAGAGCCTGACTCAAATTTTTTTTTTTTTAATTTTTTTTTCTTTTAGGACCGTAGATGTCTTTGACATATTTGTCGTAGTGCCACATTGGCAGCTCGTATATGTGGCAAGCTGCCATGTTGGTAGCCTACCTTTCGGCACATAGGCAACTCATGTGGGGCTGCCAAAATTTTATTTTAGGACCATAGATGTCTTTGACATATTTGTTGTAGTGCCACATTGGCAGCTCGTATATGTGGCAAGCTGCCATGTTGGCAGCCTACCTTTCGGCACATAGGCAACTCATGTGGCACAGCCAGTGTGGTTATCCTATTCGAGGATTGACTCATAATCATATTCTCTGACCAACATGTCATATGTGATTCCACCTTGTAGAAATAAATTCCTACGTAAAATAGCCCGCTGGGAGCTGATTGTCCCTCACGAAGTAGATTTATGTTAAAACTCCACCATATATCTCTTCCTTATCTATTTACGTTCTTCTTTTATAAATCAAGACGGTTTGAGTAGAATTCATTCAAATTATTTCCATCTTCTAGAAAACTAAGTAGTACCAGTCGTAGTGATGTTATTTTATACTTGATTTTGTTGACATCTTTAGTCGGCTCGTCCCTTTAACAAGGGAAGTAGATTAATACGAGTTTCACTCAGCTTGTCTCTTTTAATAAGGGAAGTAGATTAATGCGAGCTTCACTTAGCTCACCCTTTAATAAGAGAAGTAGATTACTATGAGTTTCACCTAGCTCACCCTTTAACAAGGGAAGTAGATTACTATGAGCTTCATCCAGCTCACCCTTTAACAAGGGAAGTAAATTACTATGACCTTTACCCAGCTCACCCTTTAACAAGGGAAGTAGATTACTATGAGCTTCACGTAGCTCACCCTTTAACAAGGGAAGTAGATTACTATGAGCTTCACTCAGCTCACCCTTTAACAAGGGAAGTAGATTACTTTCATGGAATTCAGGGTTGTCCTCCCCAGGATAATGTTGTATGATGATGGGCAGTCTACCATTAGAAAGTCCACCATCACAGTAACTTGCTTTGGATGGGCTCCTGCAATGACTGGAAGGGTAACTCCCCCAGTGGATATACTTTGTTGCCTGAAAATCCCACCAGTGGTGACTCCATGGGTCATAGCTTCTTTCAGCTGATTTTCAATTTGTCGAACACCCCAATGAGTCGAACAGTGAAATTAGTGACGACCATGGAAAATACCAAAGGATCATCATGGGGCTGGTGAATTCGCTTGTCATCTTCTTCAGAAAAGGTTATGTTTGGCTTATCAACTCGCAGTAATTTTGTTGGAGGAATTGTCACTCCAACTTTATTCACCTCTGAAAAACTTCGAATTCTCCTGGCATGAGCCCTCCGAGCTGAACTCGTCTCGCCACCACCAGCGAAGCCACCCGATATAACTCTGATCTTACCTATTGGTTGGTGTTGAGGAAGGCGATCATCTAGGCCCTCTCGGGCTGGGTTGGAGCCTCTTCTTCCTATCCCAGTCGTGAATCTGCATAAATGACCCTTGCGAACAAGGTTCTCGATCTGGTTTTTGAGGTCGAAACAATCTTCTGTATTATGTCCATGGTCGCGGTGGAACCTACAGTATTTATCTTGAGACCTCTTTATTGGATCAGCTTTTAACTTTGGCGGCCATTTCAATGATGAGTCATCTTGAAAATGTAGAAATACCTGCTCTACAGATGTGTTTAGAGGGGTGTAGTTATTATACCTGCCTGGGCTTACCAGACGACGAGACGATCTGTCAGCTTGGCTCCCTGAGAATTTTTTGCACTTCGAATCCTTTTCCTCCCTAGTGCTAGGTGCTGGTCTCTTTTTATCCAATCTTTTATCTTCACCATCTTTGCTTTTTCGTGCATTCATAGCATCCTCAACGTCGTTGTCAATCCTACAAAAGTCATTGTTGGGTATTTCACTGTTCTCCACCTCGTTAGGGGTGGCTAAGTGTTGCATAATCATCGCATTTTGCTGGACTAATTAGTTCATTCCCTCATTTAAGGTTTGAACCTGTTGTTCCAACGCTGCAATGCATTCTTGATCGTTTGGGACGATGGGGGTTGATCAGAAGTCGGCAACATTTTGTCCTCGCCAGTGGCCAGACTAGATCGCAATCGAACCATGCTTTGTTTAGAGAACTAAAATCGTTCCCACAAACGGCGTCAACTGTTGATGCAAAAATCAATATGGTCCGGAGCCGGGGGTGTTTCCTGCAAGACAAAAGAGAAGTGACAACCGACGTGGTGCCGGCTGGGTACACTCCGACGGTCAAGTTAGTACTTGACGATTGAATATCCAATAAATGATTAAATATATGATTTATCGCGTACCTTTTCAGATTGACTAATGACTTCTTTTATAGAAGCATTCACGGTAGTAGTCTTCTATTATGAAACAAATTTACTTTCCTTATCTATTATGGATTTAAGAGTCACTGGAGAGGGTAATAGTTGTTATTTCTATCTTCTTAAGTTTATCCATGCCCTTTGAGTCTCCATATCACTTGGAATTCTTATCTAGTCGAATATTCCGTAAACTTACCGTCGTCTTAATCCTTATCGTGATCTATAGGCTTAATTCTTATCGTAATCTGTAGGCTTAATCTGTATAGCATATCTCAATCTTATGAGATGGTGCGTTAATTTAACAATCTTTCCCTATCCGCGGGTATTTAAATTATATATCCATCAACTATAATGATGTAATAGGAGAATGAAAATCTAAGTAATTTTCGACATATATGCCATTCAAAATGAAGAAAAAAAGGTAAAAAATTATGAACACAATCACTATCGGCAAAGTATCTAAATAGATGCGAGGAGTGAAAAAAAAAATTTTCTAAAACATTGTAAACCGTTAAAAATTAAGAGACTTGTCAGAAAATATGCCGACAACCAATTTAGATGTGGGGTAATTTTAAAATTTTTCAAAAATTATATCATTACTTGAATGTCGGTAATTTTAAATTTTTTCAAAAATTATATCATATTGAAATCTCACATTCTGCTTGAAGGATTTTTCTTGAGATGTTATTATCATATTCTCATATTAGGGTTGATCAGTGTATTATAAAATGTGGAGTTTCAAAAATTATATCGTTACTTGAATGTCGGTAATTTTAAATTTTTTCAAAAATTATATCATATTGAAATCTCACATTCTGCTTGAAGGATTTTTCTTGAGATGTTATTATCATATTCTCATATTAGGGTTGATCAGTGTATTTTAAAATGTGGAGTTTCATATCGTTATATATATATATATAGACATGGATGGATAGATAAGTATGCACCCATACATATATAGACTAGTGCATTGGTCATGATTAAATTCATTTGACTATGATAATTGACGGTCCCAGACGATGACAGGTTAAATTATAAGCCATGTCTTTTTGTTTGGTGCACCAATTAGATTTGGGTCACAGATCTAAAAATGCATCCATCACATACCATTATATATATATATATATATAGATATATATATTGACAATTAACTACGCAACGTAGTGTAACCAATGGGACACCTAAAAACCCACTGACCTTTTCTTTGAAAAATATAGAGAAAACTTTGAAATCAACGATAATATAAAATAATTGTGACTAACCACTCTACTAATCACCGTACTTAGCTATAATCCACTCTCAACCACGAGAATACTATATATCTAACATCATATGCCATATCTAATTACCATATCTAACATCATATGCCCTTATTGGCTGTGCTTCTTTATATATATATATATATATATATATATATATATATATATATCATTGCAAGATCAACATCAAAGAGAGCTTAGTCATGCTAAGCTTTTTAGGTTTTGGGGTGGTATCGATTTCAATTGTCCAAAATGCACCTCCCCAAAATGCACCTCCCCTTGCATTCAGCTCCCAAAGGTATAACATGTTGAATTTGGAATGGAAAAAAAATTATTCAAAGTTTTAATGATTTTTTTTTTTTTTTTTTAATTTCAATTTCAAGGTGCTAATTTAATACTATATATTGATTTTGAAAAGACACTAAACTTTTCTAATTTAATGTTTTAAAACCTATTCTTTCTGTATTTTATCAATAAAGTTAGGTAAAATTAAATTTTAAAACAATATATTTATCTTTGTGTTTGTATAAAATCCACTTTCAACCAAAATAATGAAAAATAATATATTTATCATTGCGCTTCACTTTTAACTAAAATAATGAAACAATCATCGAGAGCAAAAAAAAAAAAAAAATATATGTATTCTCTCTTGACACAATTTAACAAATATGTGTGATATGAAAGGTTAGTATAATTTTTTGAATCAATTGTAGCGCATTACAATAATAGTATTTTGACTTTTCAAAAAGGTCATTTATTTTGCGTCAACCACAAATGAAAATGTGAACATTCATTAAATGAAGGAAGAGAGTATTAGAAGATATATATAACATAAATGTACCCAAAAAAAAAAAAAAAAAAATAATAATAATAATAATAAATGCTTTGTTAAGTTATGTGAAAATAATTTTATATTCTCTGAATTATTGAGAATTGTTTTAAAGCTTACAAATAAAGTTCGTAGGTTTATTTATTTATTTATTGCCCAAATTTTCGTAGGTGTATGAATTTCCTAAAAAAAACTTACTTCAGGTGAATTTAATTTGCCATGCATGGGTGCTTTAGTAATTTCATATATGACACAAGCTATATACAAATATTACTGTATATACAAAGCCATATATAAATATACGTAGCATTTAGCAAAAGACTTGAGAATTGACGATAGAGTGCAAGCCATCTGAATCTTCTGGGAATAGAGTGCAAGCCAAGCCGGAGTTCGGCCGTTCTGCTCCTCGCCGGAGTTCTATAATCCGTTAAGCAAAGCTGCTGGAAAGAAAGGTTCTTGTTATTCTCTTTTCTAGCTCTGATAGAAATCTATGTTAGGAAAACTTAAAATGTTAATTTTAAGTTGAATTGATTATGTTTGGTTGCTGGAAAATTGTTGAAAAAGAAAAGAACTGGTTTTGTACTACTTTTGACTTATAGTTAAGGTTGGCTTTTTTTTGTGTTTTAGAAACCAAAATAACCCGAACTTTGAGATGTAAATCATGTAATAAATTAATAATGCTTTTATAATTTTCTTTTCCCTGTTTTCTTAGTAACCAAACAGAGGCTAGTATATAAAAAAAAAGGGTCTTGTTTGATGTTTTTCATCGTTTTTCTTCTTCTCGATTTATTTTAGAGAGAGGCATTTTTGTTAGAAATTCATGTCAAACTGTATGCATTTGATTTTTTCATATTTTTATAACCATGAATATTTGAGCTTGAGAGATGTTTTTTTTATTCTACTTTTCTTTCCGTCCTCGTTTTGTTTTAAGTAAATTTCTTTATCGTTTTGTTTTTCCGTTGCTGATAAAATGTAAGAAAAATTAAGATATTCGAAGTTCAAAGTTTTAGATAATTTTTATTATTTTTGCCCAGTACAGTAGAAAAATGATAGAAGTATGTGTATTTATATACTCCTTCATAACCCAAAACTAGAAAAACCACAAAATTGATTTATTTTACTTTATTTTTAAGTGAAAGAAGAAAAAAACCTTAGAACCTTTTACTTTCTATTGTTTGATCTAGAAGTATGTTAAACAAAAGATAATGCTATATATATATATATATAAAACCAAAAATTCATTTCAACTTGTCTAATCCAATCACACCACATATTTTGTATTGAAAGGAGACTTTGTAAATTAGAGTCTCATCAAATTCCATTTGATTTCATAAGGTGGGATCTCTTTATCAATGGACTTCTTATTTAACCATTCAAACTTACCTTAGAAATTTATGTGCATAGATCAAATGCTCAAACACTTTAAAAATCATATAAAATGAGGTGGTGATCTTAATCCAACAGACCGCGAATTGGGTTCATTAAACATTTTTGTTCGGACTTGAATCCTCTCCAGTAGTTTTTCCCTCCAAGCACATCCAATAGTTGCACAAGTGATGACGTGACACGTTTTTATACTTGGTTGTAAGCTCGGAGATGCTTGGAAAGAGAAACTATCTGAAAAGGATCCAAATCCTTCTCCTCATGTAAAACATGAAAAAGTTTTCATGAAGGGTATCATTTTTCTGTTTGATAATCTCTAAATTTCAAAAGTGAAGCATATTTTACTTTTTCCATCCATTTGGATCCCTTTAAATGTTACAAAATTCCGAGTTCCATTTTCTTTTCTTCCGCTTCTTGAGTTCTTGGTAAGCAAATAAATAAGAAAATCCGAGTATACAGAATGAATTCACTATCTGATTTGTGGGTAGTGTTGAACTGCAGAGATGGTGCAATTTTCATCTCTTTTTAATGGCTTGGCGAAGAGTATTTCAACTAAGAATGAAAGGAAGAGTATGACAGATGATGGCAGGAAAGTTGCGAATGCATTGGCTAAGGAAGCAAAGAAGAATAATTTGATGCTGAGTTCTCCTGGCGTGGTCAGTGCCTGTAGGTCTAACAATTTTGCCTCGGTTTACTCCAAGAGAGGGAAGAAAGGAGTGAATCAGGATTGCTCCATTGTGTGGGAGGTATGTTGATCACATTAATTCGGCTTTGTGAAGAAAATACACTTTGTCAAGTGTAGTTAAGGTCCCTAAACATGTGTTCCATTTGTAGGAGTTTGGATGCCAAGAAGACATGATCTTTTGTGGGATTTTTGATGGCCACGGTCCATGGGGCCATCTCGTAGCCAAGAAGGTCCAGGAATTGATGCCATCTTCTCTGCTATGTAATTGGCAAGACACTATTGCTCCGACTTTGATCAAGCAGAATCCGGGAATGGAAAAGAATAGAAGCCTTCAGCCGTTTGATATATGGAAAGAATCCTACTTAAAGACTTGTGCAGCCATTGATCAAGAGCTTGAGCATCATTCCTTAATTTATTCTTTTCACAGTGGTACAACAGCTTTGACAATCGTTCGGCAGGTATATATGTAAAATTTATCATATAGTTTTTGTTGTTTTGCATAGTAAACAAGGGCTTGTCATGACTAATTGGCTAGTGGCCCAGCGGTATCAAGCCCCTACTTCCTATAGAGAGCTCAGAGTTCGAGCCTCAATGGAAGCATGTGTGTGTGTGAGTACCAACTAAGGAAAAAAAAAAAAACAAAGGCTTGTCATAGTTCATTGCATTCAAGTTCAAATGTAGTAGCTAGACTAGTAGTAACTATAGTATGAATGTGAAGCTTTTCTCATTTATGTATCTCAGGGTGATCTCATTGTTATAGCCAATGTTGGCGATTCTAGGGCTGTATTGGCAACCACTTCAGATGATGGCAGCCTGATACCAGTTCAGCTCACTGTTGACCTCAAACCTAATTTACCTCGTTAGCTTTCTCTCTATCTCTGTGTGTGTGTGTGTGTGTTCGCACTCATGCGTGTACACGTGGTTGTATTACTTGGGATATCACTCATACTTGTGTACTCTTGATCACAGAGGAGGCTGAACGAATAACACAGTCGAAAGGAAGGGTATTTTCATCACATGATGAGCCAGGGGTGTACAGGGTCTGGATGCCGAATGGGGAAACACCGAGTGGTCCGGGACTGGCACTATCAAGAGCCTTTGGTGACTACTACATAAAGGACTTTGGTCTTATTTCCGAGCCCGAAGTGACACAAAGAACCATAACCAGCAGAGACCAATTTGCTATTTTGGCAACTGATGGGGTATGCAATTTACTTTCATTCATTCGAACTTTTATCGTAGTCTCACAATTTATATTATGGAGTATGTTTTTTTTGTCATATCATGCATTTTTCTCTGAGTATATAATTTGTGATAATAACTTACCCAGAAAATTATAGTAATTTGTGAACGATGAGAAGATCTTGCTATGTAGAAGAACAAGATGCTCGAAAATCAGGTCTAGAGCTATCGAGCAGTAGAAATATTCATGAGCCGAAATTTTAGAAATAAACACATTTACCTTTGTCAAGACTAACATATAGTGAATGAATTTGGTGGAAACAAACAATATTGATTCAACGGCAATAGTATTTTCGTGTACTATTAGAGGGCATCATATATAAGCAATAATGCATGCTCTTATTAGAATAATGCTTCGAATTTTGAATTTTTTGTTTTGGTCTAATATATTTTTCTTGTAAGTAAAACTAAACCAATTTTGGGGTGAATGATTGACATTGTTGGTTTGTGTAACCGAATTACTGTATACCATTTTTGTTATTTAGGTCTGGGATGTTATCTCCAACGAAGAAGCAGTGAACATTGTTTACTCGACACCAGAAAAGGAAGATTCAGCTAGAAGGCTGGTGGAATGTGCTGCTAGCGCATGGAAACGTAAGAAGAGAGGTTTTGCTATGGATGACATAACAGCTGTCTGCCTTTTCTTCCAAACTGCTCCACGTACTCTCTCAACAGGATGACCGTATTAAGAACTCTTAACTGGCTAGCATATGAGAGAAGCAGGTAGTAATTAGCTACTTGTGGCCATTGCCTTTCCTCGTTAGGGTATGGTTGTATATTCTTTCTGGACTCTGCGTGTATGAGTTGAATGATATTTATATTTCACAAATTAACACAAGTGAAATTAGCCAGAAAAAAAGGAATGTGATTATTACAAGGCACTAAAAATACTCGGAAGTTTCTTCATATGCATGATTAGGAAGGAACTCCATTCTCTAATGTTTCGTTCGGGAAAGGAAAAAATTGGATGGAAGAAGAAGGGATACATGAGATATCCCTACAAAAGAGGTGGTGTCTTTCCCTCTTTTTGCTTGGTTGGATGGAACATAATAGAATAAGCTGACAACTTATTGTGAAAGAAGGGAAGAATGAGTTATAATTTTTTTTTACCATCATACCCATCACTATTTGTAGTACTGTAATTTATGAAGGATATTATTGTAATTTTAAACTTTTATAATAGCACTACTTGTGGTCTCTCCTCTCTTCCGTCCATGTTTAGAGGGATGAAAATTTGTGAAAGAGAAACGATGCCCTATTATCCTTTCTCTCCTTGTCTCTTTTCTCTCCACCCCTCTTCATTCCTTCCTACCGAACAAAACACAAGATGGATCTATTAAAGAAGACTAGACAGTTACAAAAATTGACACTTAATAAACATAAATTAGTTTGTGTAACAATAGATCAGGTAAAATCAGCTATAAAAGCAACTCAATTTATGATTAAATACTGTAATGCTTTGGAACAAATGGCTGATCTGAACAAGTTGGGAGTGTTTTCAGTCCAAATTATTCTGCTACTGAAACCAGAGAAATACTTGGGGTCATTGTAATGACCCTATTATTTTCCTTCATTTCCTTTCTCCCGTTTTTACGGATAAATTTTTTTCGTTGATGTTTTCCTTTTTGAGTTCGAGTTTTGACCCTTCGGATCATCGTGAGTGCCCGGGAATGGTTCAGGACACTTATTCTTTAGGGAGATTGGTATCGTTTTGGTGAAAACCGTGCTGTCTTCTCTTTTCTTTTTCGGACATTTTTCTTTTTCGTCTTTTCCCCGTTTGTCACTTCGTTCGCCTAACCTCACTTTTTGTGCTTGGATTTGATTTTCGACCTCATGTACCTTCATTCCATTTGGTTTTCACAAAATACGTATCTTTACTTTTGTAGAAAAGTACGCTGGTTGTTCACTGTGTCCGTAGGGGCATGGATGCAAAGTTTCTTCGGAAACATTCTTATTTCTTGGGGTGTTTTTCATAAATATCTTTTGCATATATTTTATTTCGACGATTTTTTTTGGGAAGATATTTTTATTCTGGGTCATTCGTGTAGTTAACCTTTTTTGGAGGGCCATTGTGCAATTAACGAAAGTTATTGCGAAATGCCTCGTTTTGGGTCTGGATTCTCGTACGAGATCCATTTTCACTTTTAGTTGAGTCGTGTACTCTTAGAATTGTCTTCCAGTTAATTTTCCCAATTTTAGGATTTTTGACCCTAGTTGCCGCTGAACTTCTTCGGGGCATATCTTTCTGCTCGAGATTCGGTTTTCGACATCGTTTCTTCTATTATTTATTTTTTCTAATTTTGGTTCTTTTTCATTCACAGTGTTTTACTGTTTGAGGGCGTCTGCATAGATTTTACTTTTCGGGGCCGGGCGGGACCCGTTCGGGGCACTTTTAGGGTTTTCTATAAATAGGGGGAGAAGAGAGAAAAAGTCAAACTTCTTCCCTCTCTTCTATGGCCGGCCAGCAGCCATGGCAGCCCCTTTGGGCTGCCACCTTCTTTCTTCCTTTTGAACACTTTGCCCTTTGATTTTTCCCTCGACGATGAAGGCATTGTTGTAGGCCTAAGCGAGACCTTCATTTCCCCTCTTTTAGAATCCGGTTTTGACCATTTTTGATTTCGGGTTTCGAGTTCGGGCTTGGATTTTGGTGTTGCCGATAGTTGTTCCCCTTGTTGTCCCCGTTGTAACCCCGAAGTATCGTTGGATTCAGAGCGGTTTCATTTTGGTGTTTTTTGAGATTTTCATCTCAAAATAAGGTAGGGGATGTTTTAGGATTATAATCTCTATGTATTACATGTTTTTAAGGCTTTTACAACTTGTATGCATGTCTTGGTATTTACTCTAGAATTTTATTTAATTATTTTCCTTGTGTGAAATTTAATTCACATGGTTGTATATATCTAGTGTAGAATTAACTTGTGACATGATATTAAATTAAGCCTTGGCATGTTCTTTGACATATATTAAAGTGAGAATATTTGGATGAGTTTTGAAAACTTTATTTAATTATTTTCTTGTATGAAATTTTAATTCACATAGTTGTATCCTGTGTGGAATTAACTTGTAACATGATATTAAATTAGGCCTTAACATGTCCTTTGGTAGATATTAATTTGAGAATATTTGAACAAGTTTTAAAATCTAGAGAATTAATTAAAATCTATTTAATGATTCCATTGATCTAGTTATGTTTTTAACTTGATATATGTAATGCCCTTGACTTGTTTCTTAGCATATATTAATTTGGAATCATTTGGAGTTGTTTAAAAATCTAGAGATTTAATTATTTTATATTAATTAAATTCCGTTTAATTGTTCCAATTACGTAATTAAGTTGTTGAGTTGATATATGGATTGACCATGATATAGTCTTTGAGATATAATTATTTGAAGTCATTTGAAGTTGATTTGAAATTTAGAGAAATTAATTAATTAGTTTGATTAATTTTTATTTAAGTGTTCTATCCATGTAATTAAATATTTGAGTTGATATATGTAATGATTATGCTATGATCTTTGACGAATATTAATTAGGGATTATTTGGATGAGGTTTAATTTCCATTTTTATTGCATTAATGACTTAATCATGTATTTGACGTTGATTGTATGTTTAAATCATGATTTTGGACTTGTATTATATTTAAGAGATTATGTTTTCAATATTGATAATATTGTTATAGTGTGTAATGAATCGCACATTGAAGATTCGACATTTTATGCCTTGTGTGTGTAATGAATCGTAAATTGAAAATTCAACATTTTAAATGTCATTTTAGACTTGAAACCCTAGAACATGGCTTATGTGGTTTTATCTCTACTTATGCATGGAATGTAGTTTCTATGCATTATTTATTTTTGTATAAGTTTTGGACTTATTTTGGAAATACTTGGGACATCACACAATTTGGCATGGCTATGGCAGGTCCTAGTACGGGGGATAAAAGTTCCCCTTACTAATATTGTGCGCACTTAGGTTATTCCCGGGGGTTAGTAGCCCGAAGTAACTGATGTAGTGCGCACTTGGGTTGTTCCCGTGGGTTAGTAGTCCGATTAACTGCTATGTCTTGGTTTTATTCCAGGATTTGATGTCCAAGATATTCTGCTATTTGATTTTGTATTTAATTACAAGTTGACAACTAATGCTTAATTGTGACTTGTGATTTTGTTTGATAAGCGCTGAAAAGTGCGCATTTAAACCCCTTAATCTTGAATGTTCTAAGACCTTATTCTATCTTTTTTTTTTTCGTTTTAGTCTAATTTCATGTTATTTCCCTTTTCAGGCACTTATCCCCAAAATAAGTCAATTCAGCTGAATTAGAGCATTAAAAGAAGCAATCTTAAGCCTAGTGGAAGAAAGGAGCAAAGTGGTGAAAAAATCCTTCTCCGATCGATAGAACTAAGTTACGATCGATCACACTGTGATCGTTCCAACCCTGCCATGATGGATTGAGCCCTTTGTCCTTATCCTCAGAAAAATTTCCTATTTGATCGATCCAACCTTTTCTTCGATCAATCGAACCCTTTTGATCTTATTCTCACCTACCACTTTTGTCCTTTTCCTAAAAATATCTCAGCCTTGTCCTTGTCCAAAAAGTGCACCGCCATGGTTCGATCGATCCAAGCAACCATGTGATCGATCGAACTGCCTCAAATTGCGTGAAAAACAGAGTTCAAGCCAAATTAAAGGCGTGCTCATGGTGCAATCATTTGGAGGTCTTAATGCACAAGGTTTGACCATTGGGTGTGACATTTGAGCTACCTATATAATGATTTTGGGTTATTTTTAGAAAAGTGGTTGGTTAGAGAGAGAGACTTGGCTAGAGATTAGAGAGAGAAACATACAATTTGGGAAAGTTCTTCCACTTATCTAGGGTTTCTACCAAGAACACAAGAAGAGGAGGATGAATTCTACCATGGAGATAACCCTTGAGGGTTGGATGACAACATCAATGAATGGCTAAACCATTCTCTTAGGGTTAGAGATAGCTCTAAGCATGCCTCATAGACTTTGATGTTTTGTAATTAATGGGGATTTGTGTTGTAATTCTTGTCTTGACATCTTATATTTATATAAATCTTGTTTCTACAATAATTTGTGTTGTTTAATATTTCCAATTGATCATTTAGTTCTATCCATATGTCTATATATGCTAGAAGGAATGTTTATGTGTTTATCTCTAGATTTTGTGACATTGATGCATGTCTATGTGTGTTGATATTATGAATCTAGTGATGGTCAAGACATGGTGCTTAAATAGATTACTCTTGTGATTTATTTGATGGTTCATACTCATTTCTTGATGGATTATGCCACCTCTTTAGTTTAATTAGTTTAATTTTCATGTAACTAGCTTAGTTGTAGTGTAATTGCCTTACTTTCTTAGATAGGTGGACAATCTATTCTTGTTGTTTGATGTTCCATGCTTATGAATGTAAGTGGTATATTTTTCTAATTTAATAAGTGTGCATTAATTGTGGACTTATAGAAGGATTAATGGCTTAATTTGATATGTTGTGCTATTCACTATATTGACTAGACAATGTATGCTTACTTGGCCATCCATGTTTGATATTTCAATTAATAGCACACATTTTCATTTACAACACACAATCCCCCTAATCCATAAAATATTGAATGTCTAGGAAGGTAATACTTAGTGGTGAACTCTATGTCCCAAGACTCCTCTCTTATATTCTTTACACCTCATTTGTTTTAGTTGTTTTACATTGCATTTCTTTTGTTTAAAGTGTAGTATAATTCAACCAATCAAACTTTTCATTCGACCTACTAATCCAACATTGATTCCAAGAATACAGCTCATTTCCCTTGGGACGATCCCTACTTACTCTAGCTACATTAATAGTTAGTAGTGGTAGTGGCATTCTATAAATTCAAACTTAGCCACACTACATTTCACTTTACCACATTTTTCAGCATTGGTCTGACGACACACCAAGTTTTGGCGCTGTTGTCGGGGATTGGCAACGTTGTAGTTTGGGAATCAATTAGGAATTAGTACTCTTTTGATCTTATCTTTATTTTATTTCATTTTGGTTACTTATTGTGTTTGTTCTTGATTTGCTAGGTGTATTGAGCCAAGGGAAGTGAAGCAAAGTGATTCTAAAGCAAAGAAGCAAGCTAAGCTAAGCAAAGCAAAAGCATAAAAAGCTAAACATATAAAAAATTTTGCAAAGCAAAGTAAGGCAAAGAAAAATTGAAAAATAATTTGAAGTTGCTTAAGGACCCTTTCTGAGCTTTTCTAACTCTCTCTCTAGTTAAATCATCGGCTCGCATGGTGGCAAGTTTTAATTTCCTCGATATATTGTCGGCTTGCGTGGAGGCACTTATTTTTCTTACATATTGTTGAAAGCATGGGAGTATGTGATCAATGTATTTGGAGGTTTGTTAATTGATTTGTTGAGGAAGAGAAGTGCTTGCTATTTTCTTGTGGTTGGCTTGTTGTTTGTTTTGATTGTGCATGTATGGTCGTAGATCATTGAATCCTACTCTTGTCCCACTTAATTTGAATCTTGAATTCATTGTTCAGAATCTAAGGGGAAGGGGTAATTCTAGTGACTTCATTTCATCAATGGAGAAACATAATGAGGACCATGTGGAGGACCTTGCTCACATCAACCAACAAGGTATTCTTCACCCTAATGTGCATCAAGATCATGACAATATTAAAGTACCATTAGGCATGCCTAGACCTTTCATTCCACAATAACAAGGCTAAGTTCCAATGGGAATGCCTCGGCCAATTTTTGTTCCACCTCCACTTCCCGTTGTTCAAGGAAATCATGGTGCTCGTGTAGAGCCACCGGTTGTGAATCCCCCTCTTGATTTAAGAGATCATTATGTGTTAAATGAGTATAATGCACCAACATGCATTCAATCACCTCCATTTAGAGCACACCATTATGAAATTAAACCACAAACAATTCAAATACTTCCCAATTACCATGGGCTACCAAGTGAAGAACCTTACAAGCATTTGAATGAGTTCTTGAAGTGTGTTCCACCGTGAAATACACGGATATGCTGGAAGAGGTTTTGAGGTTAAAACTCTTCCTTTTCACCCTTAAAGATAAAACAAAATATTGGTTCAAGAATTTAAGGCCTTTTTCGATAACTTCTTGGGCAGAGATGCAACAAGAGTTCTTGAAAAAGTACTATCCAGTTTCAAAGAATAATGCAATGAGAACTTCAATTTGAGAATTTTCTCAAGGGGAAGGGGAAAATTTTCATGAGGCATGGGAGCGATTGAACGATTTGCTTAGGAAGTGTCCGCACCATGACATTCCTAAATGGAAATTAGTTCAATTCTTCTTTGAAAGTTTATCGGATACCTATAAAGGAATGGTTAATACTTCTATGGGTGGTTCTTATCTTGATAGGCATGAAGATGATGTATGACGCTTATATGAGAGCATGAGTGAGAATTCAATGCATCGATCTTTATCATATAAAAATGGTAGAAATCTAGGTGGAAGGAAGAATGTTGGCTTATATCAAGTTGACCATTCCAATGATATAGTCGCCGAGGTGAAATCTTTATCCCAAAGGTTTGATCAATTTTTTATCAACCAAAATTCGGTGAACTAAATGTCTTCCTTCCCTAGTCATACTCATCATACTTCTAATGAATCTTGTATGACTTGTTCTAGTGTTTTACATTCTACTTCCAATTATCTCCATGGGCATGTGCAAAGTGAACACCATGAACAAGTGAATGCCGCGTTTGTTAACCAAGTGAATAATCCCTATGGCACTCACTATAATGCCGGGTGGAAGAACCATCCAAACTTCTCTTGGAAAAGCCAAGGGGAAGGCTCAAACCCTCCCCAAAGTGATTTTCAAGGTAAGTATGTTCCACCCCCAATGCAAGGCCAAGGTTCCCAAGGTTATCGCTCATCTTACCAAGCATCACATGGTAACCAATTTTCAAACTCTCATTTTCCAAATCAATCTTCATATTCTCAAGGAAATTCAAGAAGTCCCGCATTTGAAGAAAAAGTTCTAACCGCTTTGGGTACTTTGGAGGCAAATACCCAATTACTTCATTCTCATTCCCAATCTATTGCAAATCTAGAAACCCAAGTCGGGCAAATAGCTAGTACCTTGAATGCTAGGGAAAAAGGAAAAATGCCTTTGAATCCACCACCAAAGCAATAATTTGTTGTGGAGACCAATTCCTCTTCGGAAGGTCACACAATTTAACATGTGAATGTGGTGACCACTTTGAGAAGTGGAAGAGTTGGTGATAATCAAGTTGGTGTTCATAATGAAGAGAATGAACTGGTGCAACCAAAAGTGGACACCCGTCTCGTCTCACATCCTATTCCTCCTTCATTGCATGTGAAAGAATCCATTGTTGAAAATGTTGTCAAGAATGATTTTGAAAAAGCTTTTGAGCCCAAGGCTCCATTTCCGGATGCTTTGAAAACATCCACCTTTCTTGAAAAGCAACAAAGCGAAGCAAATGAGATAATTGATGTGTTTAGGCAAGTCAAGATCAATCTTCCTCTCTTGGATGCAATTTGATAAATTTCGGCTTAAGCCAAATTTTTGAAAGATCTTTGCACCCTTAAGAGGAAGTACAAAAGCCAAGCACCGAAAAAAGTTGTTTTGACCGAGCAAGTAAGCTCAATTTTGCAACACAACACCCTCCCAAAATTTAAAGACCCCGGTTCACCAACCACTTTTTGCATTATTGGTGATCATATCATTAACCGGGCTCTTCTTGATTTAGGAGCGAGTGTGAACCTTCTTCCATATTCAGTTTATGTTCAATTGGGTTTAGGTGATTTAAAACCGATGTTGGTAGTTTTGCAACTTATCGACCGATCCATTAAAAAGCCCCGGGGTATCATTGAGGATGTATTGATCAAAATTAACAAGTTCTTCTTCCCGGTTGATTTCGCTGTTATTGACATGGAGCCGATCCCGAATCCTAAGAGCCAAATTCCCGTTATCCTTGGCCGTCCTTTCTTGGCTACCGCGAATGCCAACATAAATTATAGGACAGGGATAATGAAGATTTCATTTGGCCACATGAAGGTGAAGTTAAACATTTTCAATCCAACCCCCAATTCCATAGACAAGTGATGAATGCTCAAATGTGACGCATTTTAGCACCTAAGCTAGGGTATTTTATTCCATTCATCTATCTTACTTTCATGTTTTAGATACTTATTTGTTTTAGATACTTATTACCTATTTCAGGTGAATAATGTTCAAACAGGCTAACAAGAGCCATTTAGACCATTTTTGGAGCTAATCAGCAAAGTTGGAAAGAAGCCAAGAAGAATGCGCTAAGGGAACTTCGATAGATCGAAGGGAAGTCCCGATCGATTGAAGTGGTCTTCAATCGATCGAAACAAGGCGGTGCCAACTCAGCCAATTGGATAAAGTCTGGAAGATATTTTCAAGCTACGTCAGCTTTGATCGATCGAATCTAAGTGTTTGATCGATTGAAAATGCTGCTGGCAGTGAGTTGTCTAATTCTCGAGTGCGCCGATTTCTACCTACCTTGCATAGCTGCGAATTTCTTCCAATCAGAGGCTATTATTCCGACTTGGTCCTTACTCAAAGAGGTGTGTAATTGATTTATTGAACATCATTGTAGTAGATAGAGATATTACCAATTATAGAATAGATAATTTTTTCTCTCTAAAACTAGGGTTTTGGAGAAGAAAGCAAGGATAAAGATGATGATGCCAACCTTCAAGCTAACCCTTGAGGGTTCTATGACCACTACAATGAGTGGCTAAATTCTTCTCTTGGGGCTAGAGATAGCCCCTAGGCTTGCTTCTCAAACCTAGCTTTTATGTATTTTTGGGGATTTTAGTTGTAATAAATGTTTTGACCTTGAATAAATATATATCTTATGGTTTCTACTTGATGTGTATGGATTAATGCTTTCAATTGATCATTTGGCTCTAGTCATATGTCTATGTATGGTAGAATTGATGTTCATGTTTTTATCTCTAGATTTAATGAAGTTGATGCATGTCTATGTGTGTCGATGATGTTGATCTAGTGATGGTCACGGCATGGTGCTTAATGGAACACTTTTGTGATTTATTTGATGGTTCACACTTATTTCTTAATGGATTGTATCACATCTCTAGTTTAATTAGTTTAATTTCATGTCTCTAGCCTAGTTGTAGTGTAATTGTTTTAATTTCTTAGGTAGGTGAACAATCCATTCTTATTTCTTGATGTTCCATACTTATGAATGCAAAGAGTGCATATCTCTAGATATTTGTGTGTGCATTAATGTGGTTTAATTGAATGGATATTGGTCTCATTTGATAGGTTGTGCTATTCATTAAAATTGGTTAGACAATTTATATTTATTTGCCTCCCATGCTTAGTTTCAATTGATGTCACACACACACAAAAGTTACAATTTAAATTTCCCCATTACTGTATAATTGCTAGTGTTTGATGAAGTGAAGCTTAGTGGTGACTCTAAGCCCCAAGACCTCTCTCTTATATCTTTTCCCTACTTTCTAGATTGCTCTATTTACTTGCATTAGTTTTAATTATTTTGTAGTCTAATCAAACAATCACCAACCATCTTTGATCATTCGACCTACTAATCCGACATTAGTTTCCATCACAAATACATCTCCTTTCCCTTAGGACGATCTTTACTAACTCTAGCTATATTTTTAGTTGGAAGTGGTAGTGACATTTTTTAAATTTAAACTTGGCCACACTACACACTTTTCTTGCTTGTTGCCTCGACGACACACACCAGTTTTGACGCCGCTACCGAGGATTGGTATCGTCGTATTTGGAAATTAATTAGGAATTAGTACTTTTTTTATCTTGTTTTTATTTTTATTATCATTATTTCTTTTATTTTGGTTACTTATTGTGTTTGTTCTTCATTGATTAGGTGAATTGAGCCAAATGGGTGAAGCAAAAGGACTCTGAAGCAAAAGAAGCCAAGGAAAGCTAAGCAAGAGCATAAAAAGCTCAAAAATAAAATAAAAATTGCAAAACAAAGCAAGGCAAAGAAAAAATTGAAAAATCATTTGAAGTTGCTTAAGGAACTTTTGTGAGCTTCTCTAAACTCTATCTCTAGTTAAATCGTGAGCCCGCGTGGAGACAAGTCTTTACTTTCATAGATAAATCATGAGCCCGCGTGGAGGAAGTTTAATTTTCTTTTGCATATTGTTCAAAGCATGGGAGCATGGGATCATCGTATGTGAAGGATTGTCGATTATTGATTTGTTGCGGAGGAGAAGTGATTGCTACTTGTTTGTTGCTTGTTTGTGTTTTGTTTGTGCATGCATGGTCGTAGGTCATAAAATTCTATTCTTGTCCCACTTAATTTGAATCTTGAATCCATTGTTCGTAATTTTAAGGGAAGGGGTAATTCTAGTCATTCCATTTCATCAATGGAAGACATCAATGAGGACCGTGTAGAGGACCTTGGTTACATAGACCAACAAGGCATCCTTCACCCTAATGTGCATTATGACAACATTCAAGTACCATTAGGCATGCCAAGACCTTTCATTCCACCACAACAACAAGGACAAGTTCCATTGGGAATGCCTCGGCCAATTTTTGCTCCACAACCTCCCATTATTCAAGGCAATTAAAGTGCTTATGTAGCACCTCCAATTGTGAATCCTCCTCTTGCTTTGTGTGATTATTATGTGCCAAATGAATATAATGCACACATTCAATTACCCCCTTTTAGAACACATCAGTATGAAATTAAACCACAAACTATTCAAATGCTTCCTAACTATCATGGACTTCCAAGTGAAGAGCCTTACAAGCATTTGGATGAGTTTCTTGAAGTATGCTCCACTGTGAAATACACGGACATGCTGGAAGATGTTTTGAGATTAAAACTTTTTCCTTTCACCTTTAAAGATAAGGCAAAATATTGGTTCAACAATCTTAGGCTTTTTTCGATAACTTCTTGGGCGGAAATGCAACAAGAGTTCTTGAAAAAGTACTATCTGGTTTTAAAGACCAATGCAATGAGAACCTCAATTAGAGAATTTTCTCAAGGGGATGGGGAATTGTTTTTGAGGCATGGGAAAAATTTAATGACTTGTTTAGGAAGTGTCCACATCATGACATGCCTAAGTGGCATTTAGTTCAATACTTCTTTAAAAGTTTGCAGGATAACCACAAGGGTATGGTTGATGCATCTATGGGTAGTTCTTATCTTGATAAGGATGAAAATGATGTTTGGCGTCTTTATGAAAGCATGAGTGAGAATTTAATGCATTAATCCTTATCTTCCAAAAATGGTAGAAATTTAGGT